TTAGAATGCTTTGTGTGTTCTTGACAACTAAGCCTGAGAAACATAGATTACTAGTATTGTACTCTAATGATGTTCTGGTATTGCTGTCCCAAACTCAACTCTTTTTATTTTTCCTTGCTCTGCTTGCAAACTAAGTAGATTCCCTTGTCTCTCTTTCTGTCATTGTTATTCTGGAATTTAGCAAACCTGCCTTTTTAGATAGGCTTCTTGAGCTCTCTAAGGAAAGCTTTTAATAGGTTCTCTATATAGTCAGCTGATGATAGAAGCTGATTCATTGCCTGGGTTTTGCAGTACAGAGCTGATCTAGCTATTTTTTTTCTCCTGTAAACTGTTCTTTCTCCTTTTCACTGCAGTGAGGCTCTTTCAGTATTTGGGTCACTGTGAGGTAATACAACGCTGCAGGTCACACACTAATAAGTATCTTTCTTTTTTTTTTCCTTACCCTGATCCAGCAGCTTGGTAGGTGCAGTTGTAGGATGGCAGATTGATCTCATAAAGAAAACCTGTACCATGAGGAGTGTGGTGGCTGCTGTTTCTGAAAATGTTCCTTACAGTCATGCTAACCCAAAACTTTCTGAATCGGACCCAGAGCAAGCATGCTGCTAAATAAAGTCACAATGAGTCCTGTCCTGAGCTGCATACTTGTTCTAGATTAATGACTTTGAAAGAACTAAAGCTATTGAATCAGTGCGACAGCAAGGAAAGTGGACTTTTCTAATGTCATCGGCAATAGCAGCTTCCATAATGCTTGTATCCTATAATAGTATGAGACTGCCATTGGTGGCTAACTGGCTTTAAAACCTTTGAGTCCTAGAACGAGAACAAGCAGGCTGTGTACTTGTGTCAGAATTACTTATCTCCTGACATGTTTCAGTCCAGGGACTCTGCACTAAATTCGATGCGTCATCATAAGAGCCAAGGAACTAATTTGCTTAGTAGGTGAGGATAGTGTTGCTTTGTTAGGTGCACTTTAACGTACTGTATATCTGAAAGCCAAGTATGGGGCTGAATATGCAATTGTTAAGCCCATCAGGAATGATCTTCACTTCCTGTCCCATAGACACAGTAGGATGTAAAAAGAAAACCTTTACAAAATGAGAGGAAATGAGCTCTTGGACAACTTTTACTGGAACAGATGTCCCTATTGCAAGAATTTTTTTTCTCTTTATTTCTGAGCCAAGTGTCACTACCAGCAGCCTTGTTTAGTGATCATATTGGTATTTCAGGGATTTTCATCCTGGTAGGTCAGAGGTGCTAATGGGTGCACATATAACATTGGATACCAAGAAAAGTTTGTACCCAGTAAAATGAGCAACACATTTAACAATGGGGGCAGCTAAACATTATTTATGGGACCCCATTTTGAGTTCTCAGCCTACATCAGGGGTGTCCAAACTATGGCCCTCTAGCTGTTGAAGTACTACAAGTCCCATCATGCCTTTTTCTCTGGGTGTGTTGCCTGTGGATGTCAGAGTCTTGCAAGGCCTTATGGGACTTGCAGTTCCTCAACACCTGGAGGGCTTTGGTTTGGACACCCCTGGCCTACATGCTTTTTTTCATCTGTGGTTGCAAGTGCTGTGTTTGAATCAAAAAAGGTCTGCCCTCTGTTATTGAAGTCGTCTTTCTTCTTGTATTTCACATTTTTAGATAATGAGGACTTTGTTGACTGTGCTGTATGATGCTACTGCAACTATTTTAATGGCATCCTCTCCAAAGAAAAACCAGTTGAACTGGTCAGACATACATTTTGACACATTTTTGCTTTCATTCTGCTTAGTACGCAGGCTAATTTTAAGCTAATTTATAACAATGGCTTCAGAGAAAACTAGTGGTGGGGCAAATTAGATTGAAAAAGGCAAGCCATAGATGATTTGATTTTCTTTCCTACAACCATGGGTTGTAGGAAAGAAGATCGCTCGATTCCCCATAATCACAGTCGGTGTTGATGGGGAAATCCCTTCCACAGAGCTATTGTGTTCTAGCTCCCTGCTGGCAAAACACAGTGATTAGTGCTAGTGGCAAAAATTGCATGCAAAATATCCAACAGGCTGGCTATACTGAAGTCGATCAATGAACCAGCCTGCCCATACATGGATCAATTCTCGATTAATCAAGATTCGATCCATGTATGGCTGGCTAAAGATTCCCAGTGATCACTTTCTACAGCTGAATAGTAACCAGACCTTTGGCACCTGACCCTTGGCAGTACCACCTAAGTTTAGAATCCTTTTTGTTGACTCTAGCAGGTAGAAGAAATTATTTACATTGTGAGTTAACTGACATTTCCTCTATTGGTATTAAGTCCCATTGTATATATTGATTACTGACCAAGCTTTCAACGCAATGTTTTTGTAATCTTGACAAACAGAAAAGGCATTAAATGCTCTACCATCAGCATTCTTCTTTCCCGTCTCCAATAAAACCAGTGCAAGCACAATGAGCTCTCTCTCCTACCAGTGGAGTGTGTGTGTAGAATATAAGCTCTCTGTTTAAATTAATACTGAAGGTTGATTTGTAGGTTTTGTTTTATCACCTCCAGCTAATGGAAGGTAAATAGGCAATCTAATTTAAGCTTCTGACTGCATAGGATTTATAATTAAGAAATGATTTTTACATGTTTAGCAAAGTATACTGCTTGTATGAGAAGCCTCACATTGTAGGGTTCCGTTTTTATAACTCTCAAGCTTTTAGCTAGTTCCTGGGCAGTAATGTAACATCAAAAGAAAAATTCAGCTTTTTTGACCAACTATTTTACAGCCAGGATGTCTTCTTCTTAGGCCCCTTATACAAGTCATATTCTGCATGATATTCCCTGTAAAAAGAGTATATGCAGAGTGTGTGCTCTAAATATGCAGCAGGTACATTGCAAATATAATTACATACCTCAGATTCTTAGAAGATATAATTTACATTGCTTGGTCTGCCCTGGGTCAGCACACTATTCAAACCCCTGGTGCCCTATTCTTGTTTTAAAACCTGGCCTATGTGCCTGGAGAATAACCACTCTGGTTGGCACATGTGAAGCATAACATTGAGTTCCGGACAGTTGTAAAATAAAAAAATGTCCAGTTATCTAATAAAAATATGGTTTAAGTGTCTAAATATTTATTCAGATTTGCTTCTTGCAATTCCTAGTTATGGGATAGGCAAGAACAGCGTGGTGACCTTCCCTTTGTGCACCATCTGGTAATCCGGTGGGGGGTGGTTGATAACCAAGGTGTATTACACAAATGTAGCATAGAAAAGTGAGGCTATTGACTTAGTGGTTAATGAGAAAAGCCACATTACGCATCACTGGCTTCAGAAGTCTGGATCTCTTGGCATGCGGTGAAAGTGAATGGGTTGGATGGTGGGTTAAAAGCCAGAAGGAGAGTCTGGTTATGTGACCTGTTAGTCATGTTACCAGCTCTCTTCCAACCAGAGAGAACTCTGTAATGCACTGCAGGCTTGATCCCATGGCTTGCATTTTATGAATGGGCTATTAAATATGGGCTGCGATGTGTGTAGCAATGCAGAGTATAACAGAAAGTAGGTGATAATAGCAGCGCTTTGTTGTATATGAACTCGTTAGTGTTGCTTTGATCAAGTAGCAGTCCAAAATTTACTGAGCAGTAGAGACAATACTTTTGCTTTTTTGGGTAGTATAAAAGGGATTTTAAACCCTGTTTGTTTGGATTTTTTTTTCCACCATCTGTGTCCTGTTGGGGAGATTTCCCTTCACATCCTGTTCCACAGCCACAACTGGAACTGAAAGGAAATCCCTCCAAAATGAGAGCTATCCCTAGTAGGCACCAAGGTCACCAGAACTAGTTTCCTCATGGGAAGATTCCCCCCTTTATTCCTGTTCTGTTGACTACTCAAATTTTGGTGTTTTTTTTTTTTTTTTTTTTTTCACGCTCCCTTTCCCTGAGAGTGGTCGCCAGGACAAACAGAGAGTCTAACTGGGACCCATACAGCAACAAAAGCCTGACAGGTGTTCTAAGCCATCTCAAATCATAACCAAAACAAAACTTTTGCCTTCAGTTATACATTAAAATCCTTTGCCGTTTGAATGGTTCACATACAGGATATATAGTTCAGCTGTGCGTTTATCTGTTTTGGAGTTGAGCTTTAGGATATAAATGCAGCACGTGTAGAGAGGTGTAGAAAATAATGACTCTGAGTAGGATGGGAGTATAAAAGACAATAAATTTGGGGCTCATATCAGGCTTGATAGTGTTTTCTGAGAATAACATTTATTCATTTATATTTGGATTTTTCCTACACTTAGCAGGTGAATTCTGAGCTTGTTCTTATCCTTGAAGTAATAGTTATTGGGTTTTCTAGTTTTAGTGGAGTACAGCAAAGCAAATGAGAGTTTATCAACCATTCACATTGAGGGTAGCGGTGTTCTTTCCCTCCACAATAATGGATTATCCAGGCATGCACCCAACTTTGTTTCCTCAGTCTTCTGGAAAATTCTTTGTACTTCACTGTTAGACATAATGCAAAATCCTTCTTGTACAAAGCTGATTAATTTTGCTGCTCTGCCTGTCCCTCCTTGATCTTTCACTTATGCAAGTTAAACGGCTTGTTTTATATATTTTGCCGGCAAAAAGAAATGCTTAATTTGTTATTACACTGCAGAATGGTGTTGGCATATAATGGGAAGTGTATTTTGGTTGTGATGTGTGTAATCTGCAGATTGTACATATGTATAAATTTGCGGTTTTACACAGAATTGAACAAAAGGGGCTTAGTGTACATTTTGCAGTATAGTAACAGTTGGCCACAATCTGATCGTACAGTCTCCATTAGATTAGCTAACTATTCGAGCAAGGGCCTAAATTGTTTAAGGTAGGTCTTTACAATTACATAGCTGTTTGGAAAATTTTAGGAGATTGAACAGTCAGATTGTGTTCTGTGTGGCCAGCATAAAGGTCTGCAGCATCTCGGGCAGCCCCCAGCTGCCATGTTGCATTTCACTTCTGGTAATCATTCTGGTCCCTGTTTCCGTTAAGGATGATGAAGACTATCACACGTTTGCACAAGGCCATGATGTTGCTGGAATACTTTACAAGTAACTCCTGGGTGTGGAACAATGAGAACACCAACATGTTAATGAACCAGCTCAACTCCGAGGACAAAAAAGTAAGCACTCCGTTTCAGTGAAATGCCATTTTTCCTTGCAGTGTACATTCTCACTATTAGTTAAAGTGGTATTAAACCCCAAACCAAAAAGGTAATATATTATTGCAGCTTACCAATCATTAGATGTGGTGGCTGTATTAATTTTTTTAGGTCCCCCCCCCCCCCCCCCTCTGTTTTCAATTGGTGATCTGGCCAGTAACACATCTCCTGTATTAGAGTGCTCCACTTTTGGATGAAGGTGCCATATCGAAAGCAGCATTATTAGTCTCGGGGTAGGGTAGCTTTGTGACTGCAGTTTATTTAAAAAATCATGCACCTTTTGTTTTCCTTCCATTGTAAACACTGCTTCCTGAGCCTCCCATTGAACTCCTCCGCTCAAATCTATACAGTAATATTTAAAAAGTCTGTTTAATTTGCAGGTATTTAACTTCGATGTCCGGCAATTGCACTGGGCAGAATACATGGAAAATTATTGCATGGGAACCCAAAAAAATATGTTCTGAATGAGGAAATGTCAGGACTCCCAGCAGCCAGGAAGCACTTAAACAAGTAAGTGGTATATTTCTTTAAAAAAGTCCGCAATACTTACCTCTGCTCAAGCAGTCCAGTGCCCGTGAGGTTCTGCACTTTAATTTTCTCCCCAGCCTCATCCATTCTTTGGCCATCTTGAATGGCCAGAGCAGGATGGCATAATTCCTGCGCATGCTCAGAAGTCCAGTCATCCCAGTACACACGCATTGTACTGGGAATGAACTGTGCATGTGCAGCTCTGTTTACATTTTAAAGATGACTGTGAACAGGCAGATATGTTTGTTTTATTTCAGACACTATGTTTATTATTGTCTCCTATGTAATCTATGGCCTGCTTGCATATTATTATTATTTTTAAGTTCCACTTCATGAGGTAGCATGAAACTATAGGAAAATATAGAGCCATCTGTGCACAGCTGCCTGGACCTGTCAGATGCTTGAGGGGGCATACTGAATAATTTGTACTGTCATTTTGGCACACCTAAGACCATTTTGAAGAAAATGGCAACTTATTTGATTAATGCCATAATCCCTTAAGCCCCCTTTCCAATGAGATCACCCCAGTGGTCAAGAACAGTTCTCTCACTGTTCAAGGGGATGGGGCTTAGTCCTGTAGTTCTAAAAGTTCTGTAGCTCTGTTACAGAAGAATGTTAGTTGACACAAACCTCATATTTTCCTCACTGTAGATATTCTTTTAAATCAGTCTGGGGCGATTCAACAGCCATTCTGTATGTTGAAAAATCAGCCAAACTTTAAAAATGGGCAGTGGTTGAAAGGACCAAGTAAATATGGAACTGTAAAGGGGATGTAAAGTTAGCCAGATAAACGTGACTAAGAAAATAGAAATAGTGCTAGATTCAAACTACTGTAAACCCAATGGTCTCATACAGTAGCTCAATAATTGGATAAAAAAAAATCCAAAAAAGAAATGGGTGGGCAAATCATTAGTCATTAGTTTTGCCTATTGTCTGCAGCTGATTGTTTCCCCATTGCTGCCTTACCAAGGCTTGTTCTACACAATGGGATTGATTTACTAAAACTGGAGTGCACAAAATCTGGTGCAGCTGTGTATGGTAGCCAATCAGCTTCTAACTTCAGCTTGTTCAATTAAGCTTTGATAAAAAAAAAAAAAAAAAAAAAAACTGGAAGCGAATTGGTTTCTATGCATAGCTGCACTAGATTTTGCACTTTCAGCTTTTAGTAAATCAACCCCTATGTCTCTGTGTAGAGGCAGCCATCTTAGTAGAAACAGGGCTTTGCTTCCTCATTTCATAGTTGCCCTGCCCATGACAGATGATCTGAAGGCTGGAGGGGGTAAATTCAAGCAGCAGGAAAGGTGGAGGATGCACAGATCAACAGCATGAATGGAGTAGGTGCAGGGAGACTGTTGCCCTGCTTGCCCTCAGGTACAGCTTTCTCGAAGTAAGAACAGTGCGCAGCACAGACGTGACATCACAAAATCTCACTCTAAATATATTGAATCTAGCAGAGGCAGCAGTGCCTTATATGATCTCAAATTTCAGGTATACATTGAAAGCACAGAAATTTCACTACTAATTTTTAGGAGGAATTCAAGACAAAAGATAAATCTTTCAAGGTACTGTTTAGGCCCCTTGCACATGGGTTCCTCTGTTTCATTTCCACAGTTGATCCACAACTCAGTCCCCTGAGTTGGATCAGAACAAAAACGGATGTCATATGTGACACCCACATTTGTTCTAAACGTATTGCATTCAGGCCTACAAACCTCAGCAGACTTGGGTGTAAACAGATGCACATTGTCTTACACTTGGCTGTCCATAGTGATAAATTGAAGCGCATTCTTGATCCTTCAAATCATGAGTCAAAAATAGACTGACAGAACACCTGCATGTAAGGGGCCTTAGGCAAAATTATCTTTTCTCGATGTCCCCTAGCAAATCATCATCTTTTGAGTTCAGTTTCAATTTAAATGTTAAATTCAATGTGAATACTTATTTGTAGTGTTGATAGCAGATTGCTCCATGCAGCTTTCTAGGCTCAGAGCCAATAATGATCCATTACTGATCACAGCAGTATGGCTGAGACATGAGAGCGTGATTTCTACAACACGGTACACTAGCATCACATGTGACAAAAAGACTTTAATGTCATGTTTTCACTTCAGGTTACGGAACATTCGCTATGGATTCAACACCATCCTGGTGGTTCTTATCTGGCGCGTCTTTATTGCAAGATCGCAGATGGCAAGAAACATCTGGTACTTTTTGTTGTTAGCCTGTGTTTCAAGTTCCTGTCTTATTTCCGAGCATCTAGCACCATGAGATACTGAAGACACTGGACACTGATCAGTTTGGACATCTATGCACACAGCGGCGACCTGCACAGACTCTTGTTACCCGATCTGTGTGTTCCCCCCCCCCCCCCCTTTTTTTTTCATGTCTTATACAGCCGTTCTGCCATCCTAGGTCCAGGATAACATTATACAGTAATTCAAGTGTACCTTAGTAATGAACCACACCAGTCAGACTGAACCAGCATCAAGGAGAACAGTTTACCAAAATTCACTTACAAATTTCAAACATCAATTCCATTTGAAATATGTGCTGTTATTAGCAGCGCTCCTTTCTTCACTTCTAAACGATGCTCAAGTTTTCACCAAGTCTGATGTTAAGCCTCTTCTGTTGGGTCTAATTGGTGCTGAGTTGTACGGTAAAGTATAATGCTAGCTTTCTGGCAGAGCAGCCAAGTAATCAACTTTGTAAACACACTTCAATACCAGTTACAGTGGGATGGGAAATCCTCTATTGTAGTCACAAGGAGTGTTTACTGAGGACAGAGTCTCACAGCAGCAACACAAAAACAGATCTTTTGTCAGTACAGTAGACGGTTAAAAAGCCTGCATGGGCAAAATTTGTAATGTGCAATTTTGCAAGGCCAGTTTTTACTGCTCTTAATTTAAATATCTTTTTGCTGGAAAATGGCGTTATACTTTATCCGTTTCAGTTTGCTTATTGGATTGTGCCTCTGCCACTAAGCCTATTTTACGTCTCCTGCCTCCTTTTGTCAAGTTGTATTTTTTTTCTCTTTCCTTTTTAATTTTGTTTTTTGCACACTCTCCAGCCTAGCGCTTATTTTTTTTTTGTTTCTTTTATAATATGTTCATGCTGTTCCTTCTTTTCACCTTAAATTCTTTGTACTGAATCAGTTTATGAAGGCGTTTTTTCTTTTTTCTTTTTTTTTTGTTTAATATACACGGGGAATAAGTTCTTTGGTCTGTATCTGTTCACGGAAGTGTGGCTTAACCCAGTAACCACTGAATTATCTTCTTGTCACTGGTCGGTTACAAGTCCTGTTTTTGTTGTGCTTGTACAATAAAAGATCTCTTAATTTTCAAGTTGTTCAATTACCTACAGGCTGATTACAGTCTTCCGTTTTGTTATAGTTAATGGATCCAAAGCCAGCTTTTGTTTGTATCTGTACCTTTCCATTGTCTTAGTATTGCTACTGTTTAATGAACTATTTCTTACCTTTACACAGCATAGTGCAAGCACAGTGCGATAGCCCATAGCAAGCATTTGGAGGTCCTTGTTTTGCCAGCTAGAAGAATATGGTTGCAGATAAAAGATGTCTGCTGTGTTATGGGTCACTGTACCTCATTATTGTTTGCACAGATGCAAGTTTAAGGAGAACTCCAGCCATGTCTTTATCTTCCATTTTGGACTAAGCAAAAAGTAACCTACCTGGGTCTGGCCAACACCAGCAGTCTAACTTTTCCCAGAAGGTTGGTATTTTAGAGGGTATCTTTGGGCTGCTGCATTTTTATTTTTGACTAGTCAGTTTGTCCACTCTGCCTTAATATACAGCGAAATCCAGTGCAGCTTTGTACTTGCATGTGTGGGCTTACTGTGATCTGAAATACAAGGGCTCCTGTTAGGTTCAGGTCTGGTACTGACCTAGGGTTTAATTCAGGCTACTGTGGCTGCATCTTTGCTGGCTCCCCAGCATGTTAGTGAAGTAGCTTTGTTAACACGAATGAAGACAGTTAGAAAAAGAAAAATCTCTTGCAGTCTTCCCCTAGCAAAGACTGCTCCATATAAGCCTCTGAAGGTGTGCCTGACCCAAAGTGACTGGTGTTGCGCAATCTCATGTGTACTATGTAAGGGCCTCCCTCATAGAGAAGGCTACTTTAGGTACAAAATGTGTTAATTGTCATCGACACCTGGCAGATCTCCAGATGCTGTATCAAAATTATATATATTTTTAGTGTGCCCAAAGTGTTGTTGAGTATTAGTATTCTCAGTCACCATAGAAATTTGTTGTGTTTTTTTTTTTTTTTTGCCCTCAGCATTTCTATAGGTACTATTCTGTAATGCTCTTGTTTCATTATGGGTTGCTGTTAGAAGCCAGGTGTTGACTTGGATGGAGTTCTCCTGTAATAAGGCCTCTTGTATAACCAGGGATAGCAGTTGCTTGTTTCACAATGCGTGTGATTTTCCTACACACCGAGGACTGCAATCCCTTTTTTTGACTTGTCAAGTCTATTAACGAGCAATATGGAGTTGCTAGTATTAAAGGAAATTGTTATTCTCAGTTTGATTTTGTAACCCGAGACTCTCATTCACAGCTCATGGTTTGTTCGTTTACAAAGCACTTAACTGCAACGCCTTTTATCTTAAAGGATGTTCTGTAAAACGCAAAATGCTGGTATACAAAATGTGCCGACTATGACCTCTCCAACTCTCGTTTGTCTCTAAAACCATTAATGTGCTTACCTGTTGTGCAATGCTAATTCACAGAGGGCACCTTATTTTTTCTCTGTAGGTGTGAAGCTGATTGATCTAGGACACATTTCAAATGCTTCTGTGTCGAAGCTCAGTGGTTTTCAGTAATACCGCAAAATGTAATTGGTCTTTTTCAGAACTGTATAGCATTCAAATCTCTACTAGCTGCCAAGGTCTAGGACCACACAAGGGAGTGAGAGACTGCTGGCTGCTACTAAACATTCAATAAATTATGACTTTTGTGACATCTCTGGCGTCCATTTTTGTAATGTCTTTAAATATGTGTTTTCCCCTTTGTTTTTATGGCAAAGCGAAGTGAAGATTGAAGATTTCTAAGCTCCAGGGAAATAAGGCCTTCGCTGACAGGTTTGGTATGCTTCTCATTCATTAAGGTTCCTTTCACATGAGGAGGACTTTGCCAGCGATCTGCTTGCTTAGCGAGGGATCTGTGCACTTTACACCCAACTGCCATCCGATCCTATCCGCTGGGCGGAAGGGGAACAGAACCCCATCCATTTGTTTTAATCGGATTGGAGGTTGATGGGTGTAAACTGATTTGTGTCTGTTTATACCCACCATACCATAGAGGAGAATGGAGGTTTCGATCTGGTCCGCCTAAAAAGAGGCGAACCCGATTGGAACGTTCCTGTGAAAGGAGCCTAATGGGTGCAGTGGACCTTTTTTTTGATCTACATTTTAACCTACTTCAAGTAGATTGGCCAAAAATCCAGAACCTGGAAGACCCAGGAAAGATGATGTTAGCAAAGGGTTTTGTGGATGTTGCATCAGTGGAAGGGCGCAGGTATGTATAGTTCCACTTTAGCTGGCAATTTCAGAGTGTTTGCATTGAAAAAAAACAAAAAAAAAAAATCTACTTTGAATGGCAACATGGGAATGAGGGAAAAGTAAGTATACATTACATGAGGTAGAAGTTAAGGAAACTTGTTGCTTTTGCCTGTAAGGACAAAGAACAGATTTACCTGCCAAAAAAAAGGCAATCGTAACAGCTTCTATTCTCAAAGAACCCCTATTAAAAGCAATATGCACTATGCAGAGTAATATTTAAATATCCTGTCTATTCAAACACAGGTTCCCTGGCTATCATGCTGATCCAGTGGCATCAGTACTTTCAAGTTCCCTCACTCAGCACAAATACACAGATTAGCAGTTCTCACCTTTCTGGTCTGCACACCTATATGTTTGGACTTGTCTGCATATGAGAATCATCATTGCGCTCAGAAATTTCATCAGATGAAATATGCGAAGGTTCATAGCTGCAATTACAGTTTAAGGGGCTGTCTACCTGAGTTTTTCTGCAGGTCAGATCTGCTTCTGTCTTCACACAAGTTAATGGGAATGCAACAGCAGCTTGAGACAGACTAGAAGGTCAACTGCACCCATTGATGAACGCTGATCTCAAGTGCCTCATACTGATCTCATAAGCTAGCTGCATTTGCTCATTGACACCAGCCCAAAAGGAAGTCTATAGGCCTTGTTTTATACATGTGGTTTATCCATGGTAACCGAGCACTAAGCTGAAAGTTAAAATGGTCATGTTAGTTCACATTGCTGCAGTCAGTGTGGTAACATTGATATGTCCTGTTTGGCAGGCACAACAGCTGCCAAGTGAATGGGAACATGCTAACGCCATGTGTAATCCACAGAGTTGTGGTGTAGCAGGCTTTCAATAAACAGGCAATCTGGAGGTGACAGATTTGCCTCCAAGTCACCGAAGGCCAGTGAACCCTACCATACTCTGATATATCACTTCTGCCTATGGCTGGTGAACCCTACCATACATTTAAACAAGGCCATACTGAGAAATATTTTGACTGCCACTGCTGTCTTGCCTGCTGCAAGATCCTGTCCTTAAGTGACTTACTGACAGCCGGACTAAGCATAGACACAATGGAGGTTTCATGACAGAGTTCCTCTTAAATGTGTCTCCATTCCAGGTACAATATTTGCAGTGTGTGCATATGTGGGTAATGCTGACCTGGGGAGAACATGGTGTTAATGCAGTCTAATTACAAAATACATTGTATGACAAGTCATGTAAAGGATAGAATATATTGCTTCATAGGACTGTTAGACCATATGGTGCTAATGGTCATGGCAGATAAATCTCCTCCTAATGGACTGTCTTTCTTACACAGCAGATTTACTGATTTTTTGATGGCAATAATTTGTGTCAAGCTTGTGATACTTTTAGATCCATACTGCAGTAATCTGTTTGCCTGACCTCAGATTAGCGATTCAAGCTGATAAGTGCAATGCAACATTTTGTATGGTGCCAAACCACAAGAAGATAATAAAAACAGGAGCTCTGCATCATTCAACAACAATAAATGAATCAGAGTATGCTGCATTTTTAGTGAGGACTTTTAGCATCCCTGACACTTGGATTTTAAAAGTTTTGTATAAGTTGGTTCTGAGATACGTTTTAGGTTGGTTAAAGAACAATTTTCAGTCAATTTTATTTTAGTTATTTTATATTTATAATAGTATACCTTGTTTTTTTTATGGCACTTGATTACTGCATAAAGTC